GTTTTCCCTCTTTTTCCACTTTTTCGCGTCCAGCTCGCCAGGACCCGACGATGTTTGCCGTGTCGAGGAAGTATTTAGTTGCCTTTCGGATCGATCGGCTTGCTTCCGTAAATGTTTCCATCGCTGGAGCGGAGGAACGTTTGTTGGCGTTTCTTTGTTTGCACCCCTTGACCGGAGCTATCAGTCGGATCGGTGTCGATGGAGATTGGTAATCGAGGAATATCAACGTGGATCAGCGTACAACTGAATTTGGAGAAAATTTTATGTGAAAGTCTTGCTGTCTTGCTCGTCAGCGAGACAGTGAAGACTGGGAAACTATGGAGTCTCTGTCTTTCAATTTTGAATTGGAATTATGTATTGGTGAAATAGTATCAAATTGGAAATTTATCGTAGGTCTTTGAATTTTAAATGTGTGTCATCCCTAGGAACCTATTATCAACAGAGTTGTTTAACTGGTAAGAAATTAGGCTAAGTCTCTATGAAAAGAGCAGAACGCTGCAATTGCAGTCAGAATGATACATGTTTCTTAATTTAAATTTGATATCTAGAGACTAGCATGCAACAGTTGTATGAAATATTTAAAAAGTTTTCTGCTGATGTAAGAACGTTCTCATCTTATCTCAAAATTAACAGCTGGAGATTATACTAATCAAGTATTCATTAGGCACAATTACAGAAGTTTAACTACTATTCAGTTTCGCCTAATGAACTCAATTATGAATTTAACACTGCGAGTATAAACTCTACAAATTGTACTATTTACATACTTCACAAAAATCTATTCCTACCCACTAAAACTGTCATGAATGGAACTAGATCATCTCCTGACCTCGCCAGAATTTTTAAGATAAACAAAATTTTAAATATTCCCTCGTGTAGCGCTTTTCACACCGGGTTATATCCAGATCTGAAACTAAGTCTTCGCAAGACCAAGCTTCAATTTCGCAATACAAGAGTCGTTTCACTCCTTTATTTCCACCATGCGCACACGACCACGATAATCACGGCTCGTTTCGCGGCCAGGTGAGACAAAGGTGGAAAAATATCTTGCAAACAATGCTATCGTAATGAGAGTTTAACATTTTCCAAGGGAAAGTAATTACGAAGCATCGCGATACGATAACTCCTCGTGAATTACGTGATCCTTAAACGATGAGATAACCTGCCTTTCGCGATCAAAAGCATTGTGTTCATCGTTGTTGCGCTTTCTTTCGCTTCGCGAAGAGGAGATTTTCCACGGTCACTCGAACAGTTTCACTTTGAGTCTTCCATTGTCTGCTTCGCTTATCGAAACGGGTAGAGACGAGTGAAAACGAATGTAAATATCAAATCCAGCGACGAGAGCAAACTTCAAAAAAGTGGGACATTCCTTTGAATGACATTTGCAGCCGTTATTTGCAATAATTGTTTAACCTTCGGCATATCAATGGAGAAACTCTCACAGAGGACCCTATGCCCCTCAATATACCAAGTAGACATTTAAAGAGTAGATAATTGATACAATTTTTGGCACCTACGTTGCAAATAATAATATTAGTGTTAAAATGAAGAAAAGATGGAAATAATTATAGTCTCATAAAACCTCTTCTTAAGATGAGGAGCGTCATCGACCATACCTTGGTATGCCAAGGATTGAAGAAAAGGCACAAAAGGTTCTGTGGAAATACTTTCTTTAGGACGACTGAATATTTCTGAACAGTGGAGGAGTGGCCAAAGCGTCGCAGTTAAAAGCGTAATGACTTGTTAGTAGCCTGGAAATATAATACAAATTCTGGTATTACTATTGTACCATATAACCAAAATTTATCTACATAGAGTATACTTAGCCTTACAATTATGACTTCCCTTTATCTCCTGGCAGGAAATATTGTCCCGAGTCCACTACTAGGACTCTTTCTAGGTTCACTATGTTCGAAACTATCACCTTCTCGATACCAAAATTCTCTGTCAAAAAATTTCGAAATGGAAAAATGTTATAGTCCACAGTCCCCGTCGTCAAGCTTCTTTTCCAAGAAGCGGAACCCTTTCGGAATCATCCAGGGACGTGACACGAAAATCAGGTCGAAATTCAGTTAAACTTGGGGAACCATGATATCTACGGAACCGTCGAGACTGGAAGAAGAGCGAACTCGAAATTCTGGTCTCCTCGAAAATTCCTGGGCGTGTAGCCGGTTTCGAGTCGAGGAGAATAAAGGGAAATTCATCCAGGGAAGCGGATGAAAAACGGGGTATCATTATTATTCCTGCCGCGGTGTGCACGCATACGTTCGAGGCAGAAGGAAACCGCGAACGGAACGTGATTGAATCGAAACGAGTCGCGCGTGAAACAGCCACTGGACTGTGTAAAACGTACACGAATTGTGTTTCACGTAACCAGCGCGAAAAAAGAGCCGTATCCGTCCCTGGCATCGGGAAAAATAACGAAATCAGATCGATAATGGAGGAACGATCGTCGCGCGTTACGCGTGCAAAAAAAAATAGAGAGAATGAGCGAAAGAGAATATGAGAGAGGGAAGGTAAAAAATACGCGACTCTCTTTGGAAGCCACTAATCAAAGCGATAATTAATCACTTTTCGTTCACAGACTTCGCCCATTATTCCTCTGTATACGCTTCGCGATCGATTATGCAACGGGGATGGATCGTTACGCCTATTGGTTCGTTAGCGTGCTCATTATTTCTGCATTAACGTCTTAATCGTTAATATGTAAATCGCGGCACGCAAGGGATACGGGTCTTTAGAAGCGAAGATGCCGGCGTTCGATATTTACACGGTTCAGAATTTTTTTCTGGGCTATTAGGCACGTTAAGAAACGCTATGATGCCCACGATCTTCAGCAACGTGTATCATAATCATAATTTCCAAATTCCGTTTACGCATTTCTTAATATTTTCCTCTAATAATAGATCCAGCTATAGTATATATTATATATTTTACGGAGAAAAAAAAAATATATATATAGTATTACATAAAAATAGAATATCGTATCGTTATGTAAACTATGATATACTGCCCAAAGTTAAGTGCACGCGTACTCACAATCAGTGGATATCCAAAGTCGATTTTCTCGACAACGAAGCTTCGAATGAAAAAAATTTATTCTTCATTTTCGATTCGATTTTTCACGTAGAATCACCCCCATACCGTTTCTGTACATATCTACCAAAAGTAGACGGAAGCGATTTGAAAAGATGAGACCAACGTATTTTCAAAATTCTATCGAAATAAATGTATAAATCTTCCTATTACAAAATCATTACTCATTCCTCGTTATACCTTCATCTAACTTGCAACATATTTTTTATCCTACCGTATCATATTATCCACTAACTTAACCTAACCTAACCTAACCTTACTCTATCTTACGTTGCAACAACTCGGGATGCAAATGACGCCGTGTGACGGGAGGAAGGTATAAACAGAATCGAAAAGCGAGGCTTGCTCGAACGATTCGTCTGTACGAAAAACTGGGGACAAGCTGGAAACACGGAGCTCGTCCGACTTTTTGCTAGCTCGTCACGCGGCCGTGTATATCATGCAACGAGGAGGGGCCGTCACTCGGTTAATTAGCAATTACACACATATCTGCGTGTCTGGGATTCCAAATTAGGGCGGCGTTCCCGCGTCCGATGCATCATGATAAATCCACGTCACGCGTGCACGCGCGCCCGTGCTCGACGTGCGCGCACGATAATCAGTTATTTAAATTCCCGATACCGTCGAGTATCGACGTTACAAACTAGTTTTCGAGCAACTTCCGTTCGGCGATACCTCGACGGATTACCGGACGATAAAGTCATTAAACGCAACAGAAGGTTTTGCCCGCGGTGGATGAAGCGCCATCTAAGTCACGTGGTACGAGCAAACGCTGAAGTTTCGCCGTCGAATCAAATTTTCATGGTCCCTTAAAGTAATGCCGGAGTAACTCGACGAGACGCGGTTCTTCTACTTCGTGTTTCGAGGAAACCAAATTCGATTAGACCTTGTCTGGATAGTCTGGCCTCTCGACGTTCCTGGATGTATATTTTCGTCGATATTGGGTTACTGTTTGGAGTGTGAACTGGTGTTGCGTTTGCACGAGGATTTTCACGTTGCAACTATCAAGTTGGTTTGCGACTGGTTTCAGACTTATGGAAATAGATGCATAATCTGTCTTAATCGTGACACTTTTCTTGGTATTACTTATTATGTAGTGTATAGGCAGGCATACGTTGCAGGTGTGCTGTTAATGGTTGTAGTAATTAAGGTAGATATTCTTACTAGAATATTAGTCTAAATTATTTAGTAAAAATAATAGTTCTGACGACAATAGAAAGGTTGCTGTAGTAAAAGAACTATGGTATACAACCTTTGTCTTCTATAATCATACATGCATTATATTTATGCATGCAATGGGTCTCATTTTAATGGTGAATGGAGGACACAGAAACAGCAGAGAAAGATCATATAAGCATGCTACTTAATTTCCTCTAGACTAAAAAGTAATCCCAAAATTGTTCTGCAGCTATTTTATATGTATAATATCCAGTAATATGCAGCAATTTACCATCACACGGGGTTAAAATGGCTATCATCTTTTATACATCCCAAGTACTTATCTGAGATTATATACAGTTTTGCTATATATTATGCTATCACAGTTTCCCATTAAGTAGTATTTAAATATAAAAATGGTTCAATCTGTTGAAGAAAGTCAAATAGGACACACGTTTAGATGAATGTTTCTCTTTGTTTTTACGTCCCCCATTCTCCATTGAAGTGGGTCATGCATGTCACGGAGCATCCTTTATGTTCGCAACGAGTGGAAGAAAAAATAAATTGAAAGTGATAACTGATATTTTTCTTTCGCTCTCCCATTTTAGGTATCATTCCCCTTGACATTTTATTCCTGTTCCCTATTTCCATTCAATTAAACCATTGTCCAATTCGCCATCCACTCGAGCAATAAATAAATGTAGCAAGAAGGATAAATGTAAATGAGAGAATATTTATCCACATACCCGATGCGCACAACGCACGAAGACCCGATCCAAAGGGGACTTGGAGTCCTGAGCCTTCGTGGTCTTCTCCTTGCACCAAGCTTGTCCCATTTTTCTTCCTGTCCAGCTATTATCTCGACCGCTCCTCCCGCCACGTGGTCTACCCTCCTCTCTGTTTCTTCCTCGACCCAACCGCCGCTTCTCTCACCGATAAGGCCGGATAATGTAGGCCATCTTAAGACCCGTTCCTCGTGACCTGCCGCAACCAACACGCCTCTCTTGCCGCTCTTCTTGCCAGTGAGCGAGTAAGCGATCGCTTGGGTAACGAGGCGTTGCTTGACGCTGAAAAATTTCAGAAATCGATCACTTTATGCGAGTTCTTGGATTGAAATAGAGGTGAAACGCTGGATGAGATTTATTAGGGTTCCGGAGAAACTATATGGAGATTGGAACCCCGAAACGTTTGAATTCTTAGATTTTTCGTTTCTAATTCTAAGTTCAAGTTAACTCGGTTTTAAACAATTTCAAACTTTACCAGTTTCTCCTCCAGTTCTCAACTTTTTGAGTTTTCGAATTTCTGGAATTCCTAAATTCCTAAGACTCCGAGTTCCTAACTTTCCGAACAGTTTTTTAAACTTCTTAATTTCTATGTCTTCGAATTTCCAAATTTCCAAGTTTCCTAACCTCAAATTTCCAAAAATCAAATTCTCGAATTTCTCGAATATTAAAATTTAAAGAATTTTCAAATTTGCATTTTTCGAGTTCAAGTTTGGAGTCTGTAACGAGGAAGAATAGTTAGCAAATTTTCAAATGATAAGATTATTGGAAACTAATTCAAATAACTACGTATGCTGCAGTCCATCCGAAATCGATTGGCTTCAAGGTCACCGCCCCATCCAAGAATCGGCTCACAAGTAATCTCTAAGCCTTGAAGCTTAGCTCGGACAATACTGATCTATGGTATTCAAGCAGTAATATATGGATCCTGATGATATCGTGGAGAACAGGATTTACTGCTCTGAGTGATTTAAGGAATGCATACGAAGATACGTTACCTATTGTCCAAATGGTTTACCCTAAGTAGAAAATACATATCAAGATAATAACATTTCCAAGAAAAACACATTTACAAATGAATTTTTACATACGTGATGAGAATAAATAGGAAATCAGGATAAAAGCAGGAAAATCTTTCATCGTTGGGAAACCTCTCCGAGAGAAAATTGCATTCCAAGAACAACACGTCAATCGTAACGAGCATGCCTCCATTTAAATATAATACCACGCTCAGTGCGCACGCCCAGGTATTCGAACCAGACGCACATTCAATCTTTTCCCTGAACGGCTGACCTTCTGCGCACAATGATCATCCGAAGAATGTCAGAACACACCCCTTAACGGTGTATTACCAAGTCCATCGTCACCATATACATAGTTCTACTACCATCTTATCTTCACCTTAATCCTATGTCGAAACACCTAACCAATAAGAATCGATGATCCGGTAGAATAATTCACGAATAAATGCTGCTCGTGAAATGCTCCGAATGGTACCGTTCGTCGAACAGGGAGGAACGACGAAACAATGGCATGAAATCGCGACTGTTTAAACGATCGACCGCTGTAAATCATCTACGTCTGTTTGAAAGTCGTACTCGATCAACTCATTACCGCGAACGCTCAGCGAATCGCATTTCGCCGCGGTCCAACGAATAACGCGAATTCATAAGGTGGATACGCAAGTCCGAGTCATTCCCCTCTACGTTGCAATAGAAAACAGTCCGTACTGCATAGTCACGTGGTTTTAAGCTAATTCTCAACGCATTACCTTGTTATACATTCGGTCCATAGAGTGCTCTGCATGCGTGGACTTCATTAACCTATTGTAACTGGATTTCTGTTTACAAAACAGAATCAGTTATAGTTGATTGCAATTTTTTATTTGAACTGAAAAGAGTGGTGTTAATAATTGGTGTAATGGGATAATGATAGTATACCATAATACAATACCAAGCAAAAGATATAACATTTGTATATAGACTCATGAATGTGTAATTCGGAAGTTAGGTTATGTTGTAAAGAGTGAATCGTTGCTTTGGAGATCTTTCCTGTTTAAATTAATAAATTGGTTTAAATTAATAAATTGGTTTAAATTAATAAATTGGTTTAAATTGATAAATTGGGTTAAACTGATAACTTGGTTAACTTTCTAGATTTTTCGTGTTATTGTTTAGAATGTAAAAGATGCTAAATGTTATTAAATAAACACTCTT